TAGTCTATTTTACTCGTGACAGCCGGAGACATTTACTCACCCGTCTGCCGTTGACTGGGATCTTCTCCCATTCCGATAGTGATGCATTCGGATTTTCAGTAAAATAGACTATATAGTTCTGGAAATAGATTGATTTTGTACAATTCATGTGATGGCTACAGTATCCAATAGTGTCCCAAGCCGACCTTCACGTCGTGCGTTCGCTTATACGGTGGCTCCCAGGTCAACTCGATAACGTTCGCATGAAGCTTGGTGGCCAAGATATGCTGAGGGCTGAGTTGTGGCTCTTAAAACGCCCAGTTCACCTCTTTTCCTTTCTAGACTATGGCCTAGATTTGCAGTATCTCTAGTGACTAACCTGTGTACTGTACCAGGTAGATTGGTTTGCTTTCACCGTATTTGCTGACAGCGGTGATACGGAACTCATAGAGGGAGCACGAGTCCACGCTCATAATCTCGACAGTGTTACCCTTGACTCCGCGCAGTTCACGGACTTTTGCGTCCTCGTTATGTCTGGAAAAGATACACGTCCGACACAACTGGAACGGTTTCGTTCAGCTAGGTAATATTAATGTGATATCACACAAATGAGCGGTCGATGTATGTCACGGTGATGTTTTGCGGCGTACGCATCGCTTCACAAAGGCGGGAGGAACCTTGCATCTAACACATCGTTTGGGAGAAGATTGAGTTCGACATGCAATCTTACCATGCAGTTAAGGACAATCTCTGGGAAACGACCGTGAACTGAATAGACCTTCGCCAGCTTGGACCGCGTCGGATACATTGAAGTACAAACTCACTTGAGGCGATAACGAATGTTGTAGGTGAGATCTGACTCCGTTGAAAATGCTGGCGCCCACGCAATTCGTACCGAATACGCAGAAGTACTGACCACCTGAAGCATAACAAGTTTTGTATTTAAGTAATTGTAAAAAGAAGTGACCAAAGGCGCTGTTTGGCGACTGTGGGGGAGGGGGGGGGAGGCATTTTGCACTTTGCGACTTCCCATCGACGTGTCGACCCATCTAGACAGCCTCGAGTTGACAGGTTTTACCATGATGGCTTGACGAGCTTGCTCCAGCTTCACAAGAGTTCACAGGTTTCACCAGAGTGAGACTTGTAAACCAGAACTAGTGAAGCAACGAAAGTGCAAAATGCCCCCCCCCCGCTTGGCACCAAAAAGTTACGACTGGTCCGATTAGGCACGCAATAAACGTCCAGTTACAAAGTAAAACTTGTCAGCTAGCATTCGAAAATTTCATTGACTAGAAAGAAAGCCTCCATGCAATTTATTTATTTACTGTCTACTCATTTTTCTGATTCTTTGTTTATTTTTGTTTACCTCCTTGCCTGTCCTTTTAACTTCAACATCTCGTAAATGGAGTGGGCGTGGCCGCCCATTTTACTTGAACGTGGCAATGTCGGGCGCCTTTAATGGGATACTGCCGTTTTTGAGGTCACTGTAATCAAGTCTTTGTTGAGCGCAAAGGAGGATGGCAGCTGACCACGAATGCAAAATCCTTTTGAGTGCCGAATACCTGTAGGCCACGTTCAAATACAGTGGCCAAGCACGGCGATACCCAATTTCGGGAAATGGATTATACCTACATATCAGTCAATTCGAGATACGGCAACAACTGAAGAAGGCAAGGTTCACTTCGGTGAAGTAGGATGTAATAAGTAAAAATTAGAAAAGTGGAAGATATTCTAATGAATTATGCAATTCGTGAACAGTTCAACAAGTCCCAGAGAAATCAGAAAGACTGGAACAAATAAAGCAAAGAGCAAAGTAAAGCAGAGAAATGTGAAGTTCCATGAATAATTTGGATTGCAATAAAATAAAGCAAAAACAAAATCAAAAGTATAAAGAGAAATAAATCAATAGAATAAAAATTAAATAGTGAAAATAAAATTTGAAACAAATAGGGATCAAAGGTTTCATAGAAAGATGCCATATACGATGAACGCATATAATTACAAAAAAGTGTTTTACCTGGCAATCTGATGGAGGATCAGGAGGCAGACGGGCAAACATGAATTTTTCATTCGGCACTGAAAATTTCATCATTTTTGTTCCTGCTGCTTTTTTTCAAAGCAAAAAAAACTCTATTTGTTTGGGATGGGCATCAGCTTACTCAATGTCCCCTATTTTTGCTCCGATTCACTTGCCTAAATCCACGGTGAATGTGCAGAACTCAGGGTTGAAATTTCTCAGAGAATGGAAGGCATTTTGACAGCTGGCTGTCTTCTGTGAGACTCAGATCAGTCACACCTTCCCTTTTTCACATTCAAAGGCTCATTCTGCGTTGGTTGTGTGGGCGGGGTTGGGCCTCGTCTAGGGCCGCCTTAATGGGTGCACGCCTTCTTTTCTGAAACGGCAAAGTGAGGCGTGGGAGAGAGCACCAGGGACTAATGCGCCAAGGTAAATCTGACTCCACCCATACAAGTCAGCGTAGACTCTTCCTGTAACTCAAGTTACAACTTTTGTTAACTTACAGAGATGACTTCCGCGTCGCTTTGCCCGCTTCTTCTTAGATTTCTTTCGCGGCAGTTCGTTGTAGTCCCTATGGGCAAATATCATTCCTCTGGCGATTTGTGTCAACAACGATGCCATCGCGGCACGTCTTCGTCTGAAAATATTACTGTCCCTATCACATTTGGGTCCATACATAGTTAAAACACAGTCCACACGTCCACACTGATTGAACGGACGGAGTCAGTCCTAGCACTGCGCCTTCCATGGTGCGCTCTCCCCACCTTTACCGTGCTTGAAAAAAGGAGCACAGTGCAAGGCTGAACTCCGCCAGAACAATCTGACGGTTTGTGTTTCCAAAGCAAAAGAAGTAATTTGTGAAGGAGGACACGAACAGAAATCGAACTGAAACATTCCACGGCAAAACGCCAGCGGTGATTCTTCAGCTGGGGCCATACAATGCTCTCGAACTCACCGGAGGACGAGGCACTGAAAAGACCGCTATGCCTGTCCCTCGACGAATAGCGCTTCATCAATTGAGCCACATAGTGGAGACATAGGCGCGCTCCTCAGGGAAAGGGTAAGGATCAGAATGCCAGGCGACTGTACTATTCAGGTGGCATCCGTTCAAAATTAGAGCCTCATTCAATTGTGTGTGGAAGGTAGAGAAATGTATCACTACCTCGGTGAAGGGGTAAAGACGAGAAGATTTGGCACCTCGTGTGTAGAGTCGCACCTGCTTCACTTCTCAGCTAGCCAAGAACGCTGCGGATGGTGTGTGTCACGGCGATGTACGACATCAATCGATAGCGTAGTTATATGATTGGCTGCGGCTGTGAGGCGTGAAGGTCGGAATTGGCAGTCCATTAACCATCACCCCCTCTGATAAAAAAGATTTTGTCTTCGTTTTTCACGTCGTACGTTCACTAAAAAATTCGTCCATATAAGCAGAGAAGTGCGCAAAGCCCACGCTCATGCGTGACACTCATTCTCGTACCTACGGCTCACCTGTGATACGGTTTTGGCTTCAAAGGTTCCTTCCTACAAAAGCAGTTCATGGAACGTGACGGCTTTCAAAAAACGGCTTTCAATAAAAGAAAAAAGATATCAATAATTTAGAGGCAGTAATGATAATCAGTGTGATAATAGTGTAATCAATGATGACGAGTACCGTGCTTTTGCTTCTCTTATCAGGTAGAATGGATTGCTGCTCTTGAGTTTCCTGCCGAGGTAATGGATCTCTTTCAGATACATTCGGCCGACCACGTCCATGCACATCGTCGTCAGGACCACACCGCCTAGAATTTTTTTCTTTCAAAGAGTGTTTTATAATTAGCCCAAATTCCGTTTATTTCTATCTCTCTTCT